GAGGAGAAGGAGGGAGGTAAAGGAGGAGGAGAAGGAGGAGGAGGGTGAAGGAAAAGGAGGAGAAGGAAGAAGTGAAGATGGAGGAGGAGGCTGAGGAGAAGGAGGAAGGTGAAGGAGGAGGTGGAGTTGCAGGAGGAGGTGGGGAGAAGGAGGAGGGTGAGGCAGAGGAGCTGGAGCTGGAAGAGGTGGAGCTGGAAGAGGGTGAGGAGGAGGAGGAGGAGGAGGTGGAGCTGGAAGAGGTGAAGGAGGAGGAGGAGGAGGAGGAGGAGGTGGTGGAGGAAGCTGAGGCCGAGGCGGGGGCAGCCAGACTCCACTCTGTAGAAGGGAAGCAGTACTGAGCTGAGGAGCCATTGGACTCAGTCCTCTGTGGACAGTGGACAAGTGGCTAGGTCCCCCTCTGGCTGTGAGGTCTCCATGGCCACCTCCACCCTGAGACTGTCGTTTCTGTAGCCTCTCCTCTGCTGTGGCTCCTCTGTCTGTGCCTACCCTGCTTGCCCCTCGGGTTGGGTAGGGGCAGGTGACCCTTGACCGCTGTGGTCAGGGTGAGCCCAGCAGTGGGACAGTGGCCTGAGCATCCCTTGGCTCTGTTCCCAGTGCAGACTGGTGCAGACTGGTCATGGAGAACAGCTTGCCCCCTCCCCCAGCCGTCCTCACTGCAGACTGGCCCTGTCTCCAAGTGACCCATCAGGTGCTGCAGCCCCTCCCTGTGTTCACCTCCCTGTCCTTGCCCACTCTCTGCCATGTCACATCCAGCTGAGGCTCTGGGGGTCTGGTCCTCACCCTCTCCCCGCTGCAGCTCGGGTGGTGCAGAGGCAGAGAGGAGCGGGACGGGCATTCCCTCCTCACTCCCGCTGGGCTGGACTCACCGCCCAGCTGCTTGACGCCGAGGGAAAAGGAACTTCTCAGAACGTCCTTCTGCTTCATGGACAGAGGGGAGAGAGGAGTTTACCCGTGACGTACTAATTGGTTCCCTCCGGGTGCAGACGGGATGATCAAACCGCATGGGGAGGTGATGGAGGAGGAGAAGGAGGAGTCCCCTCCACCCTGCTTCTGAGGGGCTGGACAGGGAGTTCAGGGAGTGCCTCAGACAGGGGTGCTTCCTGGCCGCGCCTGGGGTACCAAGCCAGACCCCACGCAGACACCAGGAATCGGGGGCTGGAAGTGCTGTCCACAACTCGGCTTCTGTGTCATCCTGATGATAAACAGCTTCTGTGCCTGGCTCTCCACTCGAGTCCTCAGTGCCTGGCAACTCGGCGGCCAGGCCCTAGTGAACCGCAGGGCAGCGTGAACCCCGGAGTCTTGTCACAGGGCTCCCCCACCTGGGAACATGGAAAGACCCCTGGATCAGAAGATGCGGCCCTGCAGAGCACAGGAGCATGCTGCCAGGGCCACCAGGAAGCAGTGCCCGGATTCAGCCTCCACACACCCCGTGTCTCTCCAGGGGATCTGGGCAGTTAGCGCCAAGCCTCCCTCAGCACAGGGTGGACCATGCTTCTGCCTGCATCTCAGGAACCTGAGAAATGCCTTCAGCTGTCCAAGGACATCACCTTTCTTAGGACCCATCAAGGACTGGGTAGGTTTCTAGGAACTTACTCTGAAGAATCAAAGTGACCTTACGACAGTGATGACGGGCAGCCCATGTTTACAGCGGCACAACTCATAGCAGCCCAACCTGGGAACCAGCCTTCGTGTCCATCAATGGAAGAGTGGATAAGGAAAATGTGGTGCATATTGGAGCTGTATGCAGCCATAAAGAAGAAGGAAATTCTGGCATTTGCAGGAAAATGGGTGGAACCAGAGACCATCATGTTAAGTGAAACAAGTCAAACTCAGAAGGTCCAGACGCGTATGTTTTCTCTCATACGCAGAAGCTGGAGAGGAGAAAGGAAAGGGAGGGAGGGGGTGGGAGGGAGGGAGGGAGGAGGGGCAAGGTTGGGAAATGTCGTACTGTGTGCATGTATGAATATGGAACAACAAATCCCATCGTGATGTGCAACTACATGCACCAAAAAAAAAAAAAAATGTGGAGAAAAAAGGGATTGGGCTGGTGTTTAGCAAGAAAAAAACTGACCTGCGTTTATTTTCCTAGTGATGTTTACTTCTCAAATATAAAATGTACGGTCTGCTGCTCTAGTTTCATATCTTTGTCTGTACGATGACTCTGAGTTTTGAAGCCAAGTCATCGTAGACTGTTGGGAACACTTCAGGCAGCCGGTCAGTCCGAGGCTGGTAACCCAGGTGAAGCAGTCACGGTAGGAACGGGATGACACAGCTGCACCCCTGTGCACGCTGCCGTCATATCAGATTGCTGCCTGATTCCAGCAGCTGGGTGCCATCAGTGACCGGGAGAGGGCCTCTGACTTCAGAGGGTTAATGTGAAGAATGGGCTTCTGGGCTCCGTGGGACATGGTGTGCTCAGTGTGTCTTGGCTCCCAAGCTCTACAGTGAGGCCACAGCAGTACCGGCTTCGCAGGGAATGGAGGAGGTTAAGGGCAGGCTCAGCACAGTGGCCGACACCGTGAGCCCTGGGGTCCACCAAGCTCTGCTGTCATCCAGGTTCTCCGAGCTGTATCGGGGACATCAGAGGCCTTCTGTTTGGAGCAAACCACTTCAGCAGGGTGTGGTGGTGCTGCACCCCTGTAACCCCAGCCGCTGAGGCAGGAAGACCACAAGTTCCAGGCCAGCCTGGGCCACTTAGTGAGACCCTGTGTCAAAAGATGAAAAGGGCTGGGGGTGTGGCTCAGGGGCAAGCGCCCCTGGGTTCAGTCCCCGGTACGGCAAACAATCAAAAAGTCACTTCTTCAACCAGTAAGCATCAATGACCTCAGATCCCACGAGTTAGGAGTTTGGAAGGGCTTAGGGCCAGCTCCAGGGGGCCACGCAGCTGCAGTGGGAGGCTCTCCACATCCAGTCTCTCCCTCCCTTACCGTCCAGCTCAGGAGCCGTACGGAGGAGAAGCAGAGGGCACCCTCACATCAGGAGAGTGTGGGGGTGTGTGTGTGTGGGGGCACCTGGGCAGGCAGCCACAGAGCAGGCCTGAGGGTGAGGGAGGGCAGCAGAGCCAGGCGGATGGGGCCCCGAGGGGACCCCAGGCTGGAGGCTCACCCCGAGGAGACAAGCTGAGGAGAGAGGCTTCCTTCGGTGACAGAGCGGAGAAGGGCTGTCTCACAGGTGGGCTTCCTCCTCCTGGGTGGAGGGGGACAGGTGGGCAGGCACAGGCGCACAGGGGAGGGCATCCACCCGGCCCTGGGAAGGGGCAGAGGCTCCCAGGACGCGGACATCACCTCTTTCCATGTCCACTCCTTGTGTGGTCGGTGGCTTCCTGTCCTGGCGCATGAGCGGGGGTCGCGGGAGACCAGGGAGTCTGGGCCAAGTTCTCCTTGTTCCTCAAATGTTCAAGAGATCCGCGTGCAGAGCTGAGCAGAATCAGAAAGGAAGGCTGAGGCAGCGAAGGGGACAGGCCCCCTCAAGTCGGGGAGGCCAGGGCGTCCGTCACCAGGGAATGTGTCCTTACAGCAGTCCTGGGGACTGCATCCAGGGCACTCTACCACGGAGAGACAGAGTCTCACCAAGTTGCACAGGCTGGCCTCAAACTCGCCATCCTCCTGCCTCAGCCTCCAGAGTGGCTGGAACCACAAGTGTGCCCACTGTACCAGGCCTCACTCAGGGGACATCGGCAGGCCCCAGGGGGAAGTTTTGGCAAAAACGTGGTTCAGACCCTTAAAGAAACACCCCAGTAGCCTCACCATCAGGCCCCAGGTCAGCAGTGGCTTCACGGCAAAGCCAGCAGAGACTGGGAATGTATCGCCCCCCGGGCAGCCTCCCGGACGAGAGACGTTTAAGTCCACTGGGAGCAACTGGAGTCGGAGAGCTCATGTGGGTTCTCCTTGGTAGCCCAGCTGTGCTGAGGGGCACGGCCAGCTTGGAGCAAGTGCCTATGAAGGCAGCGGAGGAATGAGCCTCCTGACCTTATTCCTGCCTCTTGAAAAGAAAGAGCGAACCCTGGCCCCGAGTCCTCTGGCACGACCCAGGGAGGCAGATTTAAAAGGGCCGCTGAAGGAGGCTTCATTGAGATGTCACTCCTGCACAGGCTGCTGTGTTCTGAGTCGCCACCAAGTCGCCACACTGACCTAGCACCCACACCTGCTCTTCACACCTTGCTCCTGGCACCAGGTGAGGAGGGATTTCCCCCCACAGCAATTCTCGTCCTGCAATCTGTGACTGGGAGAGGTCCTCAGGCCCCACAGGTGGGGGACTCAGCCTCTGCCCACTTCAGAGGCCACTCTCCAGTCCAGATGGCCCCCTGTACTTCTGACCGGTGGAGGTGCCGCTCCTTCTCCAGCTCACTCACTGCTAGGGCAGCTCGCAGACCTGGGAAAGGTTTGTTCTTCCACGACGGGTTTGTCGTAAAGACGGTGGCGACTCGGGAGGAGCCAGCTGGGGAGACTCACAGGGCGAGGTCTGGGAGGGGCTCAGCACGGCCAGGTCCTCCCTGGGCCCCCTCAGCACGGAGCGTGTTCAACAGTCAGTGCATCTGCCCTCTTGGGTTTCCTGGAGGCTCCAGTACGCCGGCACGACTGTCCTGGTCACTGGTGGAGTCCGTGGAGGTGTGGGTTGGGGAGGGGTCTGAGAGTTTCCGCCTTCTATCCAGGGCTGCTCCCCTGCAGCCAGCCCCGGGTCAGGGCTCTCGGAAGAGGCCGCAGGGCCGGGGACTCAGCTGGTGCCGGGGCTCCATGAACAGGGAGGGTGCTGTTGGCCTTCACCTCTGGCTTTATCAGCCCTGGTCAGCCATGGGAAGGCCAGATGCATGTTTCCCGCTGTGAGTCACCAAGTCACACGGTCTCCTGTGACTGCTAGGGTCCCTGGGGAGCCACAGGCCCTGTGTCCACCATACTCCACGGTGGAAGCTGGTCAGAGTGCTGGGGGAGAGTGGGGTGCAGAAAGGTGCTCAGAATGAGGGGCAGATGAGGCCAGCACAGCCGTCCATTGCTCCTTGGCCCCCAGACAGAGGGCTCAGGTAGACTGGCCATAACAGGGGTAGTGGGGACCAAGAGGTCGAGTGTGAAAATGGCCTGGAGTTTCTCTTTCAGAAGCGTCCACTCAGTGAGCTCTGTGCGGTCACGCAGGGTCACTTATCTGTAGTGGGAGTTTCAGGAGGCGGATGGCAAGGGGTCACCTTTCTGCTGGTGCCCGTGGCCCCGTGAGTAGGGGAAGCCCAGGAATGCACTGTCACTGTTGGTCCCCCAGCTGGGTCTTAGGCTTCCCATTCTTTGTGTTAGACATAAAAACAAACAAAGAAGAGACTCTTTCCTGATACTGTCTCTTCCTGTGAAGACAGACTGTGTTCCCACCCTCAGCTTCACACAGATTCCTTGACTTTTAGAAATTCCATTACAAAAAATCGAACATCTAGATCTAAGTGCAGAGTGAATTATCAGGGTGAAGAATCGCTCCTTGTAAATCACCAGTTCTGGCAACGAAGGCTAATTTTCCTGTGATTTAGTGAAACGCTTCCTCCTCCATCTCTCCATTTTGTTGCTGCAAAGAGGGGAGATCTCCCCTATTTCTCTTTCCCCTGGGGCTTCCTTACTGAGCTCCGTACACGGGTGCTCATCCCAGATGTGGAAGAAGAGGATTCCTGGGAAATCACGGGTGATGCGGGCCCACGCCTCCGGCACCGGCCTTCAGCAGAGTCCTCCAGGTGTCCTCCATGGGAACTGCCGTGGTCTCTGGTATCCACGGGGGCCTGGCTGAGCTCGGAGTGCTGGAGTGTGGCGGAATCCTGGCGACGGAGTGCAGGCCCGTCCCCTGGACACACCTACCCTGACCACCTTCCTTCAGATTCCTCAGCTCCCGATGTGGGCCAAACTCCACCCCAGCAGCTGGGTGCTTTGGCGCAGCAGGAGGGGGCTAAGGGGCTGCCTGACGTGTGTGAGGACAGGGACCCGTGTGTTGGAGGCTGGCTTTGGAGGCTCTGGTCCCACGAGGATCTGACCTGCTCTCTGGGGTGGAGGCTGGTGCAGGAGGGCCACACTGACCCAGCCGGGGTCGGCCGGCGTCTTTCTGGGGAACTTTCGTTCACTCTGTGGTGTTGGAGGAAAAGGGATCGGAGGGGCCTGACGCTCCCGGAGTAGAAAGGACAGTGTGTGGGTGGCCTGGCAGCCTCCCCACCCCAGGCACAGGGAGAGGCCTGGCGGGGGCCCAGTGGACGTGCGAGAGGGCTGGGTGTGGCCCGTTACTCAGAGCTTGGCGTGATCTGGCGAGAAGCCCGAGTGCGGCAGCAGGGTGTGGAGATCAGTGTTAGAAGTCATCGTGGGACGCCGAGGCTTCCCGTCCTAGGCCAGCGACTCACCCTGCAGACAGCGTCTGGTGAGGCCTGGAGTGTTTCTGGGGTGGATTCCAAAAACGTCTCAGCACGACGTAACGGAGGGTTCACTGCCTCCCCTCCACTCTCCTAAAGATGGGCGGAGGCTCCCAGAGCAGGAGGCTTGTCCAGTGCGTGGGCCAAGGAAAGCGGGGTTCCGGCCTCCCGGACCTCGGCCGTTTCTGGGCCACCAGGGGCCAGGAGACCCTCTGACTGGGCCTGGCTGCTCTCTTCTCTTGTCCTTGCTCACTCAGAACCAGGAGCAGGGCCTGAGGGAGAGCCGGGACTCCCCGTCTTCTGGGCTGACACAGAACCGGGCCTTCTCTGGACTTCACACTGGGGCCAGTGCAGCTGGTTCCTGGACGTCGGCCTCCACTGTGCTTTTCCTCAGAGGCTGAGCCTCCTCCCCTGCAGTCCCAAGCCTCCTGATGGTGTGGACTCCTGGGACCTGGGGCGGTCCGTCAGCCTCCACCTGCATTCTGTCTTAGTGTCTGGCGCTGAGCCTGCCTGGTGCCCACCCGTCCTCAGCCCTGGTCCCCATGGCGCCTCATCCCCCATCCCAATTTTGGAACAATCATCTACAGCCATTAACTTACTTAACAAATCTTTCTGTCAGTGGGGTACTTTATGGAAATTGAAAACTAATTAACGTTTATCTCAGCAGCTAATCACATAAAATCTACTGCCTTCCTATCTCAGGTCCTGAAATAATGACGGCCCACGAATTGAGCAAGGGAGATCTTGATCAGTCCTGACAGGGCACAAGCTGAGAGGAGAGGCAGCGGGCCACTCCGCCTCTTCTGCTAATGAGGACCCCAGGGCCTGCAGCCGCTGAGGCCCTGGGCGCCAGTCACCCGGACACCAGGCTGTGCCCACGCCACACACAGATATCCGACACCCCAAGTGTGAGCCTGAGTGTTTGAAAATGGTCCTCTGGTACAGGCCGCTCAGCCATGTCCCCCTCGTTAAGCGTCCATGTGCTGAGTGTAAGACGCATTTCTGCGTTAGGCACCGCGAAGACAAAGGTGCCCTGTGCTATTTAATTTAAGTGATAAGCAGTGGGAACTCTGCAGTGGATGGGAAAAGGGACGTCCAAGGACGTGTCTCAAGCGGAAGAAGATGAATTGCCTGCTGCACAGGAACAAAGGCCTGTCTTCGGGGGAAGTGCTGAGCTTGGGCCCTCCTCCAGTCGGCTGGTGTCTCACCTGCAGGACTCGCCAGAGACTCCACCGAGGAGTGTGCGCTGCCTGTTCCCAGGGGGAAGACGGAATGTGCCGCTCTTCTCGGGCTTACATGCCAGGAGCTCACGGGCACGTGGGGGTGCCCACGTGATATTTATCACACTGGACAAAGTTCCCAGAATATGTCTTGAGAAATTCTAGCCTGGAGTGAAATCTTCTAAGCAGAAAATCAAGATGGGAGGATGGTAGGAAGCACCCGCAGACTGAGGTTGGCGGGGAGAGACCCTGTGGGGGGAGGCAGGGCGGTGCTGGCGGAGCCGTGGGGTGGCGGTACACTGCAACCACACAGCTGTCCCGCGGGGCTGAAGCCGGCCAGCAGCGCCTCCCAGCAGATTTGAAACGGGCACCCCTTCCTCAGGCAGGTGCAGACCTGTGCTGGGTGGTGCTGGTGGGGGTAGGGCGGGTTCAGTGCCACCCCCCCCCCAGCACAGGCACTTAGGCAGTGCTCAGCACACCCCCTGAATGTGGCACCCTGCGCTCCTTCCTACTGACCCCCACGGGATGAAGTTTCTTAGTTACAATGAACATAAACCTAGCCTAAGAGAGAGCCCGGGTGCCAGAGTGGGGGCTGGTGGGGCTTGGGGGGTCTGCAGAGGTGGTCTCTGTGCCTCTCTCTCCCCTGCCCCTCCCAGGCAGCTGAGCCTTGCTCCATGACCTTCGTCTCCGGGGACTCCAACTCTGGATGACCTCAGCTCAGCTGGACACAGCAGGGCCACTCCCTGCCTCTCAAGGCCGACTTCAGGTTCTCGGGGAGGGAACTGGTTGGTTTCTGTGAGTCAGGTTTCCACGCGGGGTCCCGTCGTGGGCAGCCACAGGGGAAGTGGCATTGGTACTAAGATCCCGGCTGGACTCCACCCTGGATGCAGGATGCTCTCATGGAAGCCACATGTGAGCTTGTAGGTCCCTGGGTCTATGACAACGAGACCTCTGCAGTGGCCCTGCTGGTACCTGCTGCCTCCCGGGAAGACGGGGACCTCTTCAGGTCTTCCCACAGTTACATGTGGGTAAACAGGACCTGAGAGGAGGGCTCTGCAGGGGAATCACAGAGGAGCTCCTGGTGGATACCTGAAATTGCACACGGCGTTCGTCCACACCCAGACTTCCTAAGGCCACCCTCCGAGACTGGACCAGGGCACTCCATCCTCGCCACCTTCTTTTCCGCACACCGCCAGCGCAGGGGTGGGTGCTTCTTCCCGCTCTCCTGATGGCTGATCCAGAGCCAGACATTTCTGGAGAAAGTCCTTTGGTCTTGGACAATGGCATCGCCTCCCCTTCCTTTGTTGGCAAGTCCTGAGGCCCCCCATTTTAGGTGGATCGAGAAACAGACGCTCGACTTTGGCCCTGGTGTTGCCCGAGCTCCTGCACAGGGTGAGTGGACCGGACCCTGACCAAGGGAGCCCGAGGCCTCTCACTGGGTAGGTTGCAGAGCCCAGTGCGGAGGACGCTCTAGAATGTGCAGAATGCATGGAGCTCGTGGAGGAAGCCGCACCCACGGTGGCTCAGCTGTCCACCCCTGGAGAGTCAGTGGGGACCCTGCGGCCACAGGGTCCAAACCTGCCCTTGCAGAGGGGAACATGGGGCTCAGCATGTGAGGACCTAAGTCGGAGCCATGTATAGGTGCGAGTCATGTCTCTGTCACCCGGGGGGCCTCTGTGTAACAGTGGTGAGTCAGAACCCTGTGCAGTGCTCTCCTTTCTTTACTTTTTCTAATTATAGGACTTAGAGACGCCTGGCCTCAAGCTTCTCTCAGAAACAATGCATGTTGACAGAACCCCTCCAGCGAGGCGGTTAAGCCAGCATCTGGTCGGAGACGTGGCTAGCGCAGTGGGCTGTGGCGCTGGCCAGTCTGCAGGGTGCTGTGTGTCCCAGCATCCAAGGGGCCTTTGGATGGGTGCTTCTTCCCGCTCTCTTGATGGCTGATCCAGAGCCAGACATTTCTGGAGAAAGTCCTTTGGTTTTGGACAATGGTTTTCTAATTTACATGAACCGGAGGGCTATCTGGCACGACGAGGCTCAGCGCTGAGCTGCTGGTGAGATCACCAACTGTCGGTGGTGCTCCATGTTTCTGTGTGAGTGTTATTTGAGTCCAGCGTCTTTTCCCTTTTTTGGTCTGCAAATTCCACTCCCTCCTCACACTCTAGCAAACATTTGTTCCCAGCTAATGTCAAGGAGAAGAGCCAGAAAGCAGACATCCCAACAGCTTAGCACGGCAGCTCAAAGGTGGAAATTTTATTACATTTTCCTTAACATGGTCCAGATGAAAAAATCAGACCAAGATGCCTCAAGTTTCCTTTGGCTCAGGATCCTTGTTTTCCTGGAATAGAGCACATAAAGGCACGTTGGGGCTGAGGTCATGGCCAGGAAAGAGGGGCCCTCTGCCTCGGGCCTGCTCCTCTGCACCTGCAGGTCCTTCAGGCCTCGCCTTTCCAAGGACTGCTGCCATTCACCATCTCTACCACAGGTGTTCTCTCCTCTCCTCTTCCCTCCCCCTCTCCCCCTCCCCCTCTCCCTCTCCCTCTCCCTCTCCCTCTTCCCTCTTCCCTCCCCC